AGAATAAACTGGATTGTTATAAATTGAATTTGGACTGATTCGGAATCTGCACAGCACGTTTAAGTGGATGTGATGATCCAACAAAGTTTGTAGTGACTTTATTGTTAAATCAATAATTTTCAGTGTTATAGTTGTACAGTGTATAATGAGGTGAGTCAGCATTTGTTGTTGTTGACTCCATTTAAAGCAAATTGAGTGCTTTAAAAAGAAATGAAAAGTCAAACACTTTGTATACAAGTTTTTTGTTTTCTTGGCAGGATGCCGACTTGATAGATTTGGTCATTATCTTGTTTTTTTGTCCTTACTTCAGTTTTTCCCTTGCTAGTCAGTTTCCCCTGGTTTTAGCTGCAGTGAGGACTGGCTATATTAGGCTGGCAGCATGTGTTGCTAGCAGGGACAGAAGACCTGAGGGACTATTGGTCATAGTCACATCTGCCATGCTGGCTCTAACATGACACCATTTACAGCTGATTACCAGAGAATACAATAATCTGCAGCAGCTGAGCTTTGGTGGAACAATGTGTACTTTTCATTCTACTGGTATTATGTCATAAACGCGCTCAGTTAGATTCCTAAAATAAATATATACAGTAGCACAGACGGAGCCTGCATTAAAATTTCAGCTTTTAAATCATCACATATTTATGCAAACAAACAAAAAAAAGATATTTCCATTCTAGTGGAGGGCGAGTGTGTACTCTCTGTGATAAGCATTAAGTTATAAAATGAGCAGAAACCCATTTATTTCACATGAATTGCGATCAGATAACTGTTTCCCAGGTTGCAGGAGGATCTTTGTGGGAGCAGTTTCTGTTAAAGAGCCAGTGTTCTGTATTTGCCATGCACATGCTGTTTTATAGCACAGTCAAGTAGCTATGTTAACTCCAGTGGTTAAAAGAAGTTCTAAATATCAAAAATGACTTCAACAACTTGAAAGTGGGCTTCTGTCTCTTTAAGAAACTCCTGCTCATTCTGAAACTCTGCGTTCAGGACGTCATCGCAGCATCGCTCCTCCATTAACAACGTTGTTTCTAAGAAGTAACTTGTAAAACAGCTCATCAGATGTGCAGCTCCACCAGGTGTTTGCTAATTGCTGCTTGCTAGTCTGAAGGAGCTAAGTGGGGGAGTCGTGGGGTGAGAGGTGCTCTGTAACGCGGAAGCTCAACTTGGTGGAGCTAGGTCCACCCAGGCATTTTGCACAGTTGAATGGTTGCCATGGGAGATAAAAAGATTTCTCAAACATACATGAAAGAATCAAAGCAACACTCCAGGTGTGTTTGTGATGAGGGAGGTTCTGGTTCCGCTGGAGGTTTCTTTTTGATAAAGGGGAGTTTTTCCTCTCCACTGCTGATGCACAGTATGATGGATTGCTGCAAAGGCAACGACACAACGCAAGTGATTGTCCACTTTTGCTACATGATCGTCCAGCAAGAGCAAATTCTCTGTCAGAGTAATTATGGTTTCTTAAGAAACCCAGCAAATTGGCTGCACATTTTCAGCCAATTTCAATAATAAACTGAACTTGTTTCTTTGTTAGTTAGGATCAACTGGACTGCAGGTGCAGCTAAAATTTACTTTTTTTTATAGTAATATGACTTGAGATGTATATTTTTGTGAATTTGCAGTGGGAGTGGTTCAAACAATTCCATATTTCCAGTACATTGTTCATTGGAGTAGAAGACTTGTTTCCATTTCTCATCCACCCCAGGCTAATTAGCCAGAATCTTTAACTTCTGGATTAAGATAATGTATTTTTCGGGATTTAAAGACAGACATCCTAAATCTGCAACATTTCACATGATTTATTGGTCGGGTTAGCTTTCCTCTTCTTGATACTTTGTGTTCACTTTGTATCAATGCTTAATTATGATTCAAGACAGATCTACAGCACTACTAGTAAACTCAATTTTTACTGTCATCTTTGTATTTTAGATGAAATGAACCAATATGCAGTCTGCACCCTTCTATCCATCTGTATTCTTCAGACTTTAGATTATACATTCAAACATAAATAAATAACAAATCTCAGATTTACTATTTGTATAACAGCTTTTTTCAGCTTTCATTTGCTCTCAATTTAATTTCTTCCTCTCGAAACCTAAGAAGAGCTGAACAGATGGATATAATTTCCCATTTCAGGCATTCATTAAACATGCCTGAAGGATTTTTTTTTAAGGTTAATTTGTTTATTTTAGTTTTCAAGACTCCGCCATGATTACAGAAGCATACATGTCTGAGCCTGACAGGTTAATTTTCCCACAGTTGGACTGAAAATGAGAGCCATAACATTTCTTTTCTTTTTTTTTTTTTGCGAACCCACACACACACACACACACACACACACACACACACACACACACACACACACACACACACACACACACACACACACACTTACCGTTACACATTGCAAAGGTCAGGCTGTCCACTGGGCTCAGGACAGAACTGTAACGAGGAGGAGGCCATCATTAATTATGAATGTGTTGTAATACTACACACTGGGAGACAGAATGTGAGGGCAGCCGAGCAGCGAACCTCGTTGTGCTGCTTTATTTCTCTGACTGGCACCACGTCTCCTCTGTCCTACTGCACGCACACGCACACACACACACCACACACACACACACACACACACACACACACCCCCACACACACACACCCCCACACACACACACCCACGCACACACACACACACACACACACACACACACACACACACACACACACACACACACACACACCCCCACACACACACACCCACGCACACACACACACACACACACACACACACACACACACACACGCACACACACACACACACACACACACACACACACACACACACACACACGCACACTGAGTCAAACATCTATATTACAAAGAGAATAGCTGCATCAACTGCACAATTTGACATTTGCAAAATAAATTTGCTCAACGGAAATGCACCAGTTAGAAAAAAAAAACAAACAAGAATTAATGTTGTTGCTGTAAAAAAGTTTTTTCTGCTGCTAGGATGATAAGTTATTTTTTGTTTTTTTTTTTAGCTGTATCAAAATGGACTTATTTGCCACTGACACAAAACATGAAGAAGACGATGGAAGGTAGTTGGAGGACGATGGTGTGGCATGTTCTTCTAATGACTGATCATCTTAACAAACATATCCGTGTGATTTTAATTGCCTTTTTTATTTTTATATGGAAACACTGCAATTGCAAAAATGTGGGGTTTTCTCTGACAGTTTTATGCACACTTGTAATGGAAATGCAGCCAATGCCGTTGGTGCCAAAAGACCGAATGTGATTATAAAAGTGTTCACCAATGGACTTCTGGGCTGAACCTGGACATGATCACAGGTTCCCTTCTGCACAGTCAAACTCAGCATTCTGAGATGTGTTCAATGTTATGAAGGGCTCTGTTTGAATCACTCATTTCTCTCCCTACAGCTTTTCAGGGTAAAATCCAGCAGAGGAATTTACCAGTAAGATTGCTCTCTGACTGGATCAGATCCCACTTACACACACAAATAAGTGGCTTTTGTCTGCAGTGGAACGGCGTCCAATCCATATTCTGCTCTTTAGTCAAATGACATCAGCAGTCGGGAGTGTTTATTTCTCAGCTCCTGCTCTGACAGAGAGTGATGCAAATACAACACAGTGGTAGATGTGCTAAGTTTAACTGCAGGAATGAGCACAGCTCTATTTTGTTTCCCATTAGCTAACATTTACAGACAGAAGCAGCTCACTCAGAGTCTAAAACTAACAGCAGCAACAAGCCATGCAGAGAGAAACAGCAAGCTGCTCCTGAAAAAAGACACAAGTATCATTTTGAGTGTAATTTCAATGAATATTGTGTGAGGGAGTGACTCTTGTGGTTGAAATAAAATGTTCACATAATTAGAGGTTTTCCAGTTTGCTTTATTTTCTTGGTTTCGAAGGTTAAAAGGTCTTCCCTCTGGGATGAAGTAATCATCTGTGCACTGCTGAGTGTTTCGTAGCTGATCAAGATCCGGTGGAGATTTGGGCACTGATTTTATTATTAATATACGTCTGATTTATAGTAGTTTGGATAGCAGCCAACCACCATTTATGAACAAATGAGTGTTTATAAATGTGGTGGCAGGAAGTGGCCACACTTGGGCCAAACATCTTCAGTGTTTTCCAATTGTAAATAACTGATTCAGCTGACGATTGGTGGACTTCAAGTTGTTTGAAAAGATTGTAATAGACAACTGCCTTTCTAAGGTCATTGCTGATGTCCATCATCAGACCAAACTGTGAAAAGACCTGCTTTCACAGAAATGGACACACAGGATCAATTTATTGTACTGTAAAACTGTAGATTTTAAAAGTGACATATACTTTCTTCTTATCACCAGAAAGGAAAAACAAAGTTTGCATTATTTTTGCTCCACAGCATCAGAAGAAGCAGAATTCCTCAAATAAGTGAATATATGCTGACTTTCTCTGAAGTCAGCATCCAGAAAGTGCACACTTTGTGACACATTTACAGAACTGTGGGGAAATGGCTTAAAGGCAGAAAAACTTAATAACTGGAAAGGTTTTTTTTTCAAAGCCCCTAAAGTCAGCGTCATGGAAAAATTGTAGAGAAAACTGAAAAATGTGTGACCGCCGAAGCTTTCTAACCCGATTTAGCGACACAAAGCCTGTCCAGAGAAATGGAACAATTCTATTCTTATTACAAGATATTAGCAGGAGGACACCTGGAACATTTGACCTAAGCTTAAATGATTTACATGCAAAGCAGGACAGTCCTATGAAGAGACATTTAACCTCCAACTCACCCGGAAAGCGAGGAGAAAAGCCTTTTTATTGTCTTGTTACCTCTTGTTAAATAAAGAATGACAGGGTAGGTTTTGTGGGGAATAAATGTGAAAATAAGAAATTCCAATTCTGTTTGTGCAAAGGTGCATATTTACATCTGTCTTCTAATGTTATGTCTTTTTCCCCCATCTCACCCAGAACTTTTTTTTTCCTTCCAGGTCCCAGAGAGTCTCATCCTCACCAAAGCCACCAGGAAGCTACAGTGGTGACGCAAACTGGTTTCATATGAAAAGACGAATTGCACTTACTGAACTCCCATAGAGCTTTTTTTTTTTTAAAGACTTGCATTCAGCTATCAAGGATTTCTTTCCTTGAACTGTTGGCTCCATCGTTTGGATGTAAATAAACATTGAGAGCCGATGCTGAGGAGTTGAAATATTGCCTTTACCTTTAGGTCTGAAACACCGACTGGAAGAGTGTTTCTGCCATGTTTGAGACCCGAATAAAGGTCAGTGCTCCTTGATCTTATGGTCACTTCTCTCCTTGGGCTGTTTGTTCTTTAGACTCTGGAGTTTTTTCTAGTCAAAGCTTCTGGGTTTCCTCCTAAAGCACATCTTTTATTTTTTCATAAGGACTACATTTAAAGCCAATTTTCCTGAAAATAACTTGCCAGGAGGAAGAGGAGGGAACCAAAGACACAGTAGGGCAGATGGCTTTCATGCTCCAAAACATCAACGGCTGGATGAATAAAACATTTGAAGAGGGAAAGATTCGTGACATCTGGAAGTGAGGAACTTTTCACTCTGTTCGCCGTCCTCACGTTTCTGTCCCTCTGTGGACTCAGGACTTCAGCTGGTCAGTCAGTCAGTCAGTCAGACAGAAACAAGCCTGTTCTCCAGCTTGTTTCTCCTTTGTTCCACTTTTCTGTACCCAACACGCCGCTTCGCCCCGTCCTTCTCCCAACTTCTCCGCTCTCCGTCTCCAGCTTGGCGTGTGATGGTGCGTCCCCTCCTCTCGGCCCTGGAGACATGCCTGTACAGGAGATGGCGGTGAGTCCTGTCAAGTCCCTGCACTGGGAGCAATTCCCCCCCATGTCGCAGCGCCGTGTCTACTGCACACCTGTCTACCACGAGGGCCTGCTCTACGTGCTTGGGGGCTGCAGCGAGACCGGCATGCCCCTGGACAGCGTGGAAGTCCTGGATGTTGAGAGCCAGACGTGGAGCCAGTTGCCCCCGCTTCCCACTGCGCGAGCGGGAGCTTCAGCCGTAGCTCTTGGGGGACAGGTGATGGTGCTCGGAGGAATGAACCAGCAACAGACCCCGCTGGCCTCTGTGGAAATGTACCACCCCGACGAGGGCAAGTGGGAGACGAAGGCCAGTCTAGGTCAGCCTTCCATGGGAGTCACCGCCGTGGAGAGAGGTAAGGTGGAGAAATTAGTGTTTGAGATGCTGTTGCATGCAGCTGCTCTCTTCTGATAAGTTGGAGAAGTTGCTTTCAAGTTAACATTTTCGAGATGTTAACTGAGTAAAAGTCTGCTGACTTTTAAAATCATCACATTGTCATATTGTTGAAAAAGCAATAAGTGAATGATCGCTTTCAAACTCTTAGAACTGCCTTGATGTCTGATTATCGGGAGGGTATTTAAGATAATCTTAAGATGTTTTCCTGCTCTGTGTGTGGAGTGTTACCAGTGATCTTGTTCACTCTGAAAGATGTTGGGACCGCTTTGATCTAAAATAAGATATTCAACATGTTGGATTGTCTTGGCCTGACATTACAGTATGTTTGGTTTTGTCTCAGGGACAAACGATGACACAACTTGTTGAGTCTGACATGTAGCCAATCATAAGGCCAGGTGGCAGAAACATGGAGGGAAATTCTAAATAAAGGAGACAAAGCAACTGGCGTGACAAACCAGAAAGTTCGGTGAATGTTGGAGACGTCTTTGTATTGTTTTTTTCTCTATTAAATATAATAATCATTTATCCCTATTGCCTCTTCTAGTCGGCCATGTTTGTTTACTCTAAACTGGTGTTTCAGTTCAAAGTTTTAGGAAATTTCCCATCTGACATCTGAATGCTAGCAAATAAAAAATTGGTTTGTTTGTGATGTGTTGTCTTTGCTGTTTGAATTGACACCACACTGTATGACTAAAATACAAAAATATATCCAAGATTTTGAAATGTCGTGTGTGGGGTCTGTCAGGTTCTGAAATTGTCTGAGTGCAAAAGTATTAACACCTTGAACTGATTCACATATTTTAATGCTACATCCACAAACACCAGTGGATTTTATTGAGACTTTATGTAATGAATCAAAATCACAGTCATTTGTGCTCACCCCCTTTTATACCTCGATACCCACAGACCCCTCCTTCCTTCCAAAAGTGTAACCAGATGCATAATAAGATTAAAAGCAGTGACGTTTGTTTAAAAAAAATGAACAATGTTTGCAAGGCACTTTATCACAGTTGCTTTGCTGCTGCAATGAGTTTATCTGCATTTATCTGTGGATTTGATCCATTAATTACTACAAATTGCCTCAAGTAGACTAATTAAAAATTGCAGTGGAGAATCCAGCTGTTTTGGCACAGTAGCACTGACGAACGAAAATCTGTGACACGCTAAAATGAGCTAAATAATTCGATACATTTGGAAGAAATCCCACCAGGGCCTCTAGGGGTTGAAGTGTCTTTTTAGTGGAAGTCACTCATAAGTGGTTGGTGTTGAGAGTCGCTGAGATTTTGTGCTGCTCATAATAAGTGACAAAGCTTTTTCCTCGGGGCACACAACTCCAGATCTGAGGCCGGCGTCTGGCTTGTCAGCTGGTCAATAGTTAAACCTGAGGAAATTGGTGGATATGTCAGCTAATATATCTCTGTTTGTGTTGAGGCTTTCTTGTCGTAGAGGATTTTTCATGTGAAATAGTCGATCAGCATGCAGTCTGACCTGAATTCACATTTCCCAGGTGTTTGCTGGCTAAAGAGTGAATGCTGATTCATGAAACTCTTCCTGTTCACAACATGGATTTTTATAGAATATGAAAACTTCTGTAAGTGCATAAGTTATGGTAGTTTCCTAAAACAATACTCTGCAAATTAGTTTTTGTTTTGTTGGCCCAACTTAAATTTACTTGATCTGATGGCTTCTTTCATAAAAGGGTCAGAAGTCATTTTAGCTGCAATATTTCTAGGAGAAAAACAAACATAAATAAATATAACTCACACTATTACTATACTGACTTGATATTTTTGAATTGATTCCACAGCTTTAGTCCTTGAACTACTGAAACAATCAATCAGTTAATTTTTGGTTTATGCTTTATAATGGATGGGCAGTTTATATATATATTTTTTTACATTGTTTTGAAAATAGTTTTATCTCCTATATTACATCACTGTTCATAGGACATCCAAATCCAGAATATGATAAAATGACTCCTTAATGATTCATGCTGGTATTTCCTACATAGAACTCCTTTTTTAATGTCTCCAAAATATATGCTGTATGTTGTTCATTTGATCGCTGCATAGAACTCAATGAAGATGATTCTTTACAACATTTGGGCAATTAGAAAAAAAAAAAAGCATTTATTGGGAGTCCAGTGAAAAATCCAATGAAGCATTAATCACCAGAGTGAGCTGGTATGGAGCAATAAGCTTAAAATAAAGAAACAAATTGAGGGGAAGTGATGTAGATGGAGTGAAGAAAACAACCAACCAAGTGCATGTTGTGCAGACAAAACTATGTCTGTCCAACATTTTTTAAGTGAAAAAAAAGTTTAAAGTGTTTACATTTCAGACGACTGAGTGCAGAGAGAGAACCAGAAGCCTGATACGCAGGCTGAGGCATTTCCTCCCTGCTGTTTCCTCTGTTTACATGTCAGGCAGCATACTGTTTCCAGCCAACCAGATAAAATGAAGAATCAATGTGACCTTTCAAGGTAATAGAGGAAGATTGAGGGCACATCTCTGTAATGAGCCTTTTTTTATTTTTAATTTACCTGCAAAATGAACTCATGTTGAAGGCTAAGAACAGAACACAGGAGCATTTAAGTGCAATGTTAATGAGAGTAACATTTTATGGTGTTATTGGAGGCGCTGGTGATTGGGGTGATGAATTATTGTACAAATATGTCAAAACATGAAACTTTGTCAGTCATCACACACTGAAGCGTTAGATCAAGTGACTAAAAATGTAGAATTTTCAATCTAACTTCAAAGAAACAATTCAAGATAAAAAGTGCTCTCAAAGACTTAAAGTCTACGCTTTCCTCTTATACCACGGTGTGCAATTAGTAACAAAATAATATGCAGTAATTTGCAAATCAGTTAAACACTATTTTTATAGAAAATACGATAACAAGGTGTTCCCGGATCCTTAAAAACTCTTCAGTTTGTGTATCTAAAAGGAGAGTCTTAAGTTTATTAAATAAAATATAAGTTGGCCTTAAATAAGTTAATCACAGGTCTTTAAATTTGTTGTGACAGGTCTATTTAATCTCATATATTGTTTATGTTTCTCTCGACTTTTCTGTCAGGTTAAAGTTATCATTGTGTGCAGACATTTCCACTGCGTTCTGCGGCTCAAGGCAGTTGAAGCTCCTGGCAACTAGCAGCTAATATAGCCTTGCTAGCTGGTTGTCTATCATGTGCAATGGGTCCGGCACACAGGGAGCAACAAACAACACCGTCAGATGAAAGTCATCATCGCTTTGGGTTGATGACAAGACCATGACGAGTCGTATGCAGTGTGAAAATCACAAAGTAGAATTTAAGAGTCACAAATTTCACAATATTTGCATTATGCTTTATTATGCATGTACTACAGTCAAGTGTAATAATCAGTTATGTTTGATTATAATAGAACAAGATCCCCCCAAAATTCCCTGTGTTTCTAGTTTTTTGGCCATAAACAGGTCTTAAAAGGTCTTAAATTTGACTTGCTCAAACCTGCAGACACCTTGAATAAAGTGCAACAGAAGAGTCGGCATATATTTTCTCTGTGTTGACAGAAAAAAAGAAACATTTTATGTAAGGATGTCAGATGTATATGACTCTTCTGGTGTTGTTTCATTTCACCAGAACAAAGGCAACAAGTTGCCTGTTTCGTAGGCTAAGTCTCAGATCACTAAGGGTGGAGAGTGGCAATATAAATCAAGTTGCTTCGGTTCAGAAAATTTCTAAATTGCTCACTAATCTAATAAAGGAACTTAAAAAGACAAAGTGCCTCTGGGCAATGATAATTCATAAATGCAATAAATCAAAACGGAGCCAACAGAGCTCTGTTTATTCCTCTGCAGAAGAAAACAACCAGGCAAAATGCTCTTACAATGGCAGCTAAACAAGCTAGTCAATACAACAGCAAACAAAGCCAAAAGCTATGAAAGTCTGTCAGTAAACGCATTAGGTACAAAGAGTAGAAGCAAAGCGATACAGAGAAACTAATTCACTAAGGTATTGCTATATGGAATCAGAGCATGGTGCAGTGAGGAATCTCAAATGAAAGGAAGTGGATCACTGCATGGACAGCTGTCTGATAGTTCACAAAGACAGATGAGACAAGCAGTGAAGGGCAGCACTAGGAGCGCTGGTCTTTGAGTCTGACAGAAAGGAGGCGAGATCAGCGCTGTGTTGCATTTTATTCACAGTCACAATCTGGATCGCAGCGTAGTATGTAAGCGTCATGTTTATTAGTGTCGGAAACACAAATGCCTCCCGAAACTAATCCAACTTTCTTCTCCAAGTTCATAAAAACCCCCTTGAACTGGTCCAGTGTTCCATGACCAGAACTAAATCCACATTTTTCCTCCTGAATCTGAGGCTTAACTGTCCAGAGGATCCTTCCTTCCAATCCCAGGTTTGGCTCAAACTATTTTGGCAGAGCTGTGTGTGATATGTTGTGTGATTGGTCAGAAGTGTGCATGCATATTTTATGTGGAAATGCACTTTGACAGGAATGTTGTTATTTGTCTGTTGCCACTATCCAGGTTTGGATCTGCAAGTGACAGAAATACTTTAGAGGAACTTTTAGCAGACATTTGTATTATTCTCCACAAGATAAATATAGATTGATAAATGGCTTAAAATTTATGGTTGGAAATTGGAAAGTCATTGTACACAGCTGAGTCGGACAACCACATAACCAAAGTTTGGGAGAGCCTTTAATCAGACAAGTGACCAAAAAACTCTTGGTAACTCCAGAGCAGTGCTTCCCAACCCTGGTCCTGATAGTGCACCGCCCTCCGCGTTTTAGATGTTTCCTTGCTGCAGTTCAGCTGATTCCAATTGACGGTTGCTTAACAACTGTTTGGTGAGCTGCGATCCTCTGAATCATATATATTGAATCAAGGAAACATCTAAAACATGCAGGGCAGTGTCTCTTCAGGACCAGGTTCAGAGAACGCTTCTCTAGATGAGC